CCAGCAGTTGGAACACCTGCTTGAGACGTTTGGAGGATCGCCCCGATTCCTCCAACTGTGCCTCGACACCATGGCGCTCGTGGCTGCCGAAGGTCGCCCCGACTCTTGTATCACCATCACCGCCAACCCCGCCTGGAAGGACATCGTCGTCAACCTTCGTCCCGGCGAAACGGCCGCAAACAGGTCAGACCTCGTAGTGCGGGTGTTTTTGTTTGTCACGAAGTTGAAGTTGTTGATGCGGGACCTCACCAGGCGGCAATTGCTCGGCAAAGTATTTCGTTCACGTGGGTTGTGGAGTTCGAAAGACGTGGCCTCACACACACACACACACTTATTGCTCATCATGGCCCACGGGCACAAGACGGTCACAGCGCAAGGTGTCGATCACCTGGTATATGCGAAGATCCCCGACCCTGCGACGCAGCCAGAGTTATACGCTCTCGTAGACACCCCCGGGTTCACGGCCCTACCGGCGCCCTCAAACCTCATTGCCGTACAACCATTTTGACAACACTTGGACGACTGCGGGACAACCACAGGAAAAGCACAGGACAAACGCGGGACAACCGCGGGTCAAACATGGGATTCCGATCTAATCATATATCGGTTTCGCCATCTCTCAACCAATTCCATCATCGCTCTATCTGTCGATCTCATGATAGATTGGTCCATAGTCCTTATTCCGGCGTCATTATCAATATATGCATCGCCCTAGTCGTTTTTTTGCACCACTAAATAAATACATCGATTACATTCATTTTCTACCTCTGCACAGACGGAACATCCGCATGACAACCACGGGACGACCACGAGACTACCACAGACAACCACGGGACAACCACAGCACAATCACGGGACAGTTACCGGGCTTTTACCGGGACAACCGAAGGACAATTTACGGGACAATCACGGGACAACCGAATCAGAGCCGCGGAACAACCCCGGGACAATGCCCAGGACAATCACGGGACAACCATCGGAACAACCATCGAGACAACCATCGTGGCCAACATTGAACAACCGCAGGACAGTAACGGGACAACCGAGGGACAAGTATCGGGACAACCACGGGATAACCACGGCACAGCAGCGGGACAACCTCAGGGCAACCTCGGGACGACCGAGAGACAAGTACCGGGAGAACCACAGGGCAACCGCGGGACAGCCACAGGACAGTTGCGGGACAAACCTCGCGCACGCCTTGGACGCCGCGTGGGTGGGTGGGGGGGGCGGCAAAGGGCCCTCCCGTGGGCCTAGCTGGAATTCGCGCAGGTTCGCCTCGCCGCGCACGCACGTCACGCGCGACACAATCCGAAGCCGAGGCCGATGTCCTCGGTTCGGGGACTCCGTTTCGCTCGGTCTCATCCCCCCGACCTCCAACGAATGTTTGGGTCGAGAGCTCCCGCGCCCCACGCGTCCAACAAAGTCTGGGCGGCGGAGGTCCATGGGCTCCGGCGCTCTCGAACTCTTGGGGACGTTTTCTAGAAGTCTTGACCTGACGGCTGTTTGTGGTCCCAGAGGTTTCCGAAGACCTCGGTGGGGGGAGGAGAGGGATCAGGGGGAGCGGCAGGAGTGGGAGGAGCATGGGGAGGGGGTGAAGATGAGTGGGCATCGGGCCTTGCTCGACGAGCGCGAACCGGGTGGATATTTCGGGGCCTCTTTGAGCCTTCTGGGGCTTCCTTGGGCATTCGCACATCCTGTACAGTCTTTGGAGCTTCTTGCGCCTGGGACCGATTTTTGCAGGGGCTCCTGGCGCGAGAGCACGAGCTTGGGATTTCGGGAAAACGCATCGCCGATGCGGCTCGATGTGGTGCCCGATCTTCTGCACGCCGACGGCGCCGATGCATCGGCGATGCATTGTCGATGCGGTACGATCCTCCGAACCCGTCTACTCGGACCCCATTGGGAGGCCTCTACTCACGGAAGTTCTGTTATCCCCCGAAGGTGTTGGGCGGGCCCACAGGAGCGTTGAGGCACGTCAGCAGGTTCATTACTCGACGACGAACGCGCCCCCAGATTTCTGCTAGCAAGCTGTCTTATCGTGTGTCTACTGTCTTGCGTCGTGATACATCAGAAGTTTGGGCCGTCCTCTGGGCAGTCAGATGAAAAGAAAAGGAATGAAAGCGTGGTGAGGAAAGAGGCGCACAGGATGGATGAATGTGCGTAGGAGGGGGCGGGGCAAGGGGGCGCAGGTGCATATGTTGCCGAGGCGGCGGCGAATCAGCGAGTTTGTCTCCCAGTGACCCTCGCTGGGACGCTCGATGCGCAGCGGCGGTTACGGTTGTTCAGTTGCTTGGGTTTCAATTTTCGGCGTTGTTTGGCTACAGCTTCTCGCTTGTGCGACCACAGTGCACGGGCTGCCTGCCATGCTTTCCAGGAACGCAGCGCCCGATCACTTGATCCATACTTGAGACAGGTATGCGCTAGTGAACTGTGTACCTACTGCGGAGAGCGTGGTACAAAAGCGCAGAGGTAGCATTGCCGTTGCAGGAGCCAGGGCGTAGGGGAAGCACTCGTGCTTCGAGGGGGGGGCGCTCGACTTTCGGTGGAGGGGAGGGAAGGAGGAAGTGGCGGAGGCGGGCGGGGAGGAGGGAGGAGGCAGAGAAGTGGTGGGGAGTGCGGAGAAAGGCAAGGTATGTGGAGGATGGGTTGAACACGGTCAAACAGCACGCGAGACGTCAGCCTGATTGCCTCCGCTCTCCCACCGCTCTCCCTCCTCCTTCCCCGTCCCTCCCTCCCCATCCCCCCCACCCCACGCCCCCTTCCCAATTTCTTGGCGGCTGGAAGAATTCGCGCTGGAGATCCTTCGCAATTTTCGATACCCAGGGGCCCATGTCTGAGCCCTGAGACCGCCCAACACATGTTCTGTTTCGAAAGATCCCCCGCTGAGAACACGAGGCGGCACCCCCAGGGAGCACCGAGCCCCTTGTGGCCTGGCGGCCGCGGCATGCAGTCATCACGCGTCGAAGACGCGAGGCGGGATACAGTAACAGCCAGGCAGCACCAGGACCCTTGGGGCCTTGCGGCCACGGTATGCAGGGTGGGCGAGGCTGGTCGGGAGTTCTTTTCCTTCAATTTGACCGCCCCAACCCGTCGGGTGGGAAGAAAATGGGATGAACAAGCACAGCGCCGGGAAATGGGTCGGGAGGTCCCGGGTGTCCGGCGGCGGCCAGGGTCTCGTCGAGTTTGTCGACGGATTTGGATCTCGTTTCCAGAGGCGTCATTCGTCTTCTTGTGTTTCTCATGTTTTTACAATTATTATTATTCGTATTATTATTGTTATTCTTAGTATTAGTATTATTCTTCTTTCGCTCATTATTTTTCTTCTTCTCATTTTGCGACCTCCTCCGGAGCCATGGCAGCCGCCGCCTCCCCATCCGTTGTTGCTGATAGGCATGTCGGAGTTGTTTTCATTCGCCATTCAGGGACGACGCTGGGGGGGGGGGGCAAGCTCAGAGGAACCCATCAACTCCCAATCCCCCCTTAATCGCGGATGTGGGCCCGATAGCCCGCTCCGCCCGGGAGCGTGCGGATTCGCCATCGAGAGCCTGCGCATCGCCGATTCCAAGTCGGTGGATCCCCCCCTCCGAGCCGGCCTCCCCCTATCGTTAGGTCGGGCCTGTCCCTCTACAGGGGGGGAAATTCAAAAATGGTATAAAAAAGTATTTAAAAAAGTCTGGAGACGATTTGTTTTTAACTATTTTTGATCATTGTTGGAGTATGTGTCGACTAGTGTTTATCTTTCGTCCAAAATCCCCGTGTAGGAGGACAGGCCCGACCTAACCCTATCGTTACCCCTCGGGGAGAGCCCGGGGAGGTACCAGACAGTCGCCATCAAGCAGACGGGTCCCGAGGGAAGCGAGTCCCGAGGTGCTTCGCTGACGTCGGGCTCCCGAGGCCCTCCACGGGCCATGGGACCGTCGGAAAACGGCCTAGGATTAAGTCGGGCCCGTCCCTCTACAGGGAGAATATTCAAACATGGTCGAAAAATAGTCGGGGGACGATTTTTTGACTATTTTTGACCACTCTGGTGTATTTGTTGACTGTTTTTTTATGTTTCGTCCAAAATCCGCCTGTGGGGGACAGGCCCGGCCTAAGCCTAGGATGAAGAGTTGGTTCTGGGGGGAGGCCCCCGGGATCCTGGACCCGTTTCCCTCAGGACCCGTTCTTGTCATGCCACCGTACGGTTGAGCATTTGATTCAGATACCTCTTCCAGAAAAGTTGAGCCAGCGTTTCTTGGCCATGTTGCTGGAAAGCTGTCTCAGTTTCTTGAGCACGTTCGCCCTCCAGCGCTGACAACATAACCTGGCCCAGGTGAGTTTTAAGAGAATTCTGGAAAGCTGGCCCAGATGTCTTAGGTGACACGTTTCTTGATCAGATTTCCGACTGTACCATACTATACGTACAAGTCCTTCCCCACCCTTCTCTTCCCCTGCTCCTCAGCATCTGGTGGCACCGAAGATGGGCGGCGAGGCTCGGACGCCTTCCGGCCGCGAGCGAGCGAGCGAGGAGCAGGGGGAAGAGGCGTGGAAAGGCCTGAGGGGGGGGGGGAGGCAGCCGCAGACTGCTGGGGGACCCTGTCGAGGCCAGCAGGGACTGCCTCGGGGCGCTGCCCAGGGCCTAGGCCCTCAGGCGATCGCAAACATGGATAAAAGGGGGCGCGGATCAGCGACGGGTCCCGCTTCCACGGGGAAACCGCGGATTTCCGCCGCCGACCGAGGCGGCACCGACCGCATTTTGGGGAGGGCACCTCCCCGATCCATGGATTTGGCGACCGCGCGCCCATTCCATGGATCGCTAATCCATGTTTGCGCGCCCCCGAGGACTGCCTGCGTGGGGCCTAGGCGCAGTCCCAAACCTCACCAGGAGGCCTCTCCGTCCCCTTCCTCCCTTGCCGGATCTTGCCGGTCAGGCCAGGGGGCGCCAGGAGGCCCGACGCGTCCACTGGTTGACCTTTTCCTACGCCGTCGCGGCGCTCCCCCCCCCTCCCGCCCCCCAGGAGGAGAGGCGGCGGAAGGAGGAGGAGGCGAAGGCCGCGGAGCAGGCCAAGAAGGAGTCTCGCCGCGGCGCGCGGCCATCCAGGGCCTCGCGAGGGCGCGCGCGAGGCAGGCGCCCCGAGAAGGGAGGCCCGAGGTGCGAGGTCGGCGGATGGGGGCGCGGGGGGGGGCGGGGGGGCGCATCGGAGATGCCCATTTTGTGCATCTCAGTTCCTGAACTTTCCGTCTGTGAGTGGCGGGGTGAGGGAGTATGTGTTTTGTGGCGACTGGGTGCTCCATGGCGTCTCCTCCTCGGTGTGCCCACATGCGATGCCTGCTACATAGGGATGATCCAGACAGCCCAGACCCCTTACGCGCCGTGGAGTCCGTGGAGCAAAGACTACAACGAAAGTTGCTTGGCTATTTTCGGACCTGGGGGGGGGCAAGCGGTCAAAAAACGAGTCGGGAGGAAAAAACACTTTCCGGAAATGTGTCAAGACCTCCAGGGATCACAACGTCGGGTGTCCAGGAAAGGTTTCGCTTTCGGTTCGTCTCGCTTTCGGCGTGCGCCGGCAGAAACAAAACGGCGGCGGCTGCGCCAGGGTAAGCCAGCGGGAGGCGGCGGACGTAAAGTGAGACGTCCACGTGTTTGGATTCAGGGATTCTTCGATTTGACGTTTCTCGATTTACATATATTGAAACACATATGCACGCATATATGTATGTGTATGTATACATGGAGCTCTACATGTGTGAGCCATGCACCATAAATGCGTGCTCATATATATATATATATATATATATATATATATACATACATACTATATATATATATATATTGTATACATATATATATATGGATGTGTGTACAACAAGTGGTATGCGCATACCCAGGTCCATGCACACCGGGCAGGGGGTCGTAAGCAATAGCATTAGAAGTGCGCACGGAAGATGAGACAACCGGCACGGGGCGTGCAAGTTTATTCAGGCAAGTGCGTGTTTGCGTGCGTGCGTGAACGATTTAAGCACTCGTGATAAACAAACGTAATTGGACTACCCCATTCCCAACCAGCCTTTGGTGCTGGGTCTTCGTTTTGAAGAGACAGCGCCCCGCGTCCTCATCCTCTCCTCTCCTCCTCCCTCTCCTCCTCCTCCTCCTCCTCCTCCTCCTCTTCCTCCTCCTTCTCCTCCCCCTTCTCCTCTTCCTCCGCCGCCTCCTCCTCAATCATCATCATTTCGACACACCCCTCACGCGTTTCGTGTCCCCATGGCTCCACCGAGCGCTCCCGTGATGCATCTCCCTGCCTCTTTCCGGCACCCCACCACCATTCCGGCACACTCCTCACGCGCTTCGTGGCCCCATAGGGCCCATAGGGAGTTCCACCAAAAGAAGTAGCCACAACGCGGTGTTCACAATTGCAGATGGTTGGGTTTTTTGCCATGATAATTGTTGCAGTGAACATTTTATCCCAAGGTCGTTGAACAAACATGCGTAGACTACGTTGGTCTCTTAGTGAGTTGAAACATAGTGAAATGTTGAAAACAGTTGAAAGAAACGGCTATTAATGCGCTCAACGGGAATGCACAAGCACACGCACAAGCAGTTGAAATTGTTTCACAAACAAATGTTTTCCTAATCGTTACGTGCCAGATCGCCGAACATCACGTCCGTCTCCCCATCGCCAACCGCCACATGAGATCTTGCCAGATCGCCGATCCCAGTAGCAGAGTACGCATGCGTCTCCCCCACCCAGTACAACGTGTCGTGGCCCATGGGGAGCTTCACCGGAGGCCCCAGTGGCAGAGTCCACATGCGTCTCCCGCATCCAAAGCAGCGTTTCGTGGCCCACAGGGAGCTCCACCGAAGGCCCCAGATGCAGGGTCCACATGCGTCTCTCCGCCAGTGCAGCGCTTCGTGGTCACTAGGGAAGTCAGCCAGAGGCCCCAGTGACAGGGCCCACGTGAGTCTCCCCCATCCAGCGCAGCGTTTCGTGGTCGACTGCACCTAAGAGTGGCCGTTCGCCGGAGTGACTTCGGGCGCGGGTTCAGCGGGGCCCCCCGACGATCGCGCCGGACACGCGATGCGCTGGCAGCGGCTTGGGCAGGAGGAAGAGGAGGAGGAGGAGGAGGAGGAGGAGGAGGAGGAGGAGGAGTGAGGAGGAGGAGGAGGAGGAGGAGGAGGAGGAGGAGGAGGAGGAGGAGGGGGAGGGGTGCAGCCAACTCCGGCCGACGCGCCGCCTCCGCTGCAGAGAACTCCGCCGCTCCGGGAGCGGGGGCGGCAGAGGGGTGGCATCGGCCCCGGGAGCGGCTCGGGGGCCCTCGGGTGTCGTTCTGCCTCTTCGGGTTCGGCCCTTGATGCCCGCTCCCCCGCCTTGTCTCTCGGTCTTTTTGCCTGCTCCCCCCCCCCCGTTCTCTCGGTCTCTCTTTTTTTTTTGTTTTCTCTCTCTCTCTCTCTCTCTTTGCTCTCTCTCTCTCTCTCTCTCTCACGCTCTCCTGATCTCGCTATATGTGTTGTTAACGTGCCTCTCCAGTATTATCTCTCCCTCGTTTCTTTATTTCTCTCTCCTCCTCTCTGTCTACGTGTCTCTCTCTCTCTCTCTCTCTCTCTCTTTCTCTGCTTTATAATATGTCTCTCCCTTTCTCTCTTTCTCGTTCTCTCTCACGCTCTCTCTCTCTCTCTTTCCCACTCTCTCGCTCGCTCTCTCTCTCTCTCTCTCCCTGTCTCTCTCTCTCTCTCTTTCTCTCTTTCTCTCTCTGTCTCTATCTGTCTCTATCAATCTCTCTGTTTTCATTATTCTATCTTTCTGTCAGTCCCCATCCAGCGCAGCGTTTCGTGGCCGACTGCACCTAAGAGTGGCCATTCGCCGGAGTGACTTCGGGCGCGGGTTCAGCGGGGCCCCCCGACGATCGCGCCGGACACGCGATGCGCTGGCAGCGGCTGGGCAGGAGGAGGAGGAGGAGGAGGAGGAGGAAGAGGAGGAGGAGGAGGAGGAGGAGGAGGGGGAGGGGTGCAGCCAACTCCGGCCGACGCGCCGCCTCTCCGAGGCAGAGAACGCCGCCGCTCCGGCAGCGGGGGCGGGAGCGGGGGCGGGGGTGGCAGAGGGTTGGCATCGGCCCTGGGCGCCGCTGGTGGACCTCGGGTGTCGTTCTGCCTCTTCGGGTTCGGCCTTTTCTGCCCGCTCCCCCCCCTTTTTCTCTCGCTCTTGCTGCCTGCTTAAACCCCCCTTCTCTCGGTCTCTCGCTCTCTCCCTCTCTCTCTCTCTCTGAATAGTTGTCTTTGTATATCGCTCTCTCTCTCTCTCTCTCTCTCTTTCTCATTCTCTCGTGATCTCGCTATATGTGTTGCTAACGTGTCTCTTCATTACTATACCCCCCTCGCTTATTTATATTTGGATATGTATATCCCTCTCTCTCTCTCTTTGTCTATGTTTATATATATGATATATATATATATATGCAATGTATACATATGTATATATATGCCGTTATCTTTCACGCTGTGGTTTGTTGTTTCTCTCTCTCTCTCTCTCGTTCTCTCCCTCTCTCGCGCTCGCTCTCTCTCTCTCTCTCTCTCTCCCTGCCTCTATCTCTCTCTATCTCGCTCTCTCTCTCTCTCTTATGATCTCTCGTGCTTATGTTTTCTCTGTCGCTATCCCTCTCTCTTTCTCTCTCTCTCTCTCTCTCTCTTTCTTTCTCTCTCCCTCTCTCTCTCTCTCTCGCTCTGTCGCTCTTTCTCTATCTCTCAGCCTCTCGCACTGTCTGTCTCAGGAGGCCGAGAGGGCGGCAAGGCTGGCTGCTGGCGAGGACCTAGGGATGGCGGGGCGACGCAGTAATGCTAGCGAGAGAAGAGCGCAGGTTTGTGATTGCACTTGGAGGCTTGGAGCGACGAGTCCACGGCTGCTGACGTTAGGTTACAATCAAGACGCTGAGGTAAGGACCCTTAGGCTCAGGAGTGGTTGTGGTCTTCTGGCCGTTGCTGAGATCTAGGTTGGGGAACTTGTCTATTCGTGGCCGAGGCTCGCTGTGGCCTGAAATATCCCCTGCGCTCCCCATTGCGAAGGCCTTACGTCCCGTGCCGCCGACCCCGAAGGCGGGACCTTCTCCAGAACCCCCGCTGGCGCCACCCTCGGGACCCTGGGGGGGGCGGTAATCCGACTCGCCCCCCCCCCCCCCTCACCCGCCCCACCCACCCCTCACCCACACCCTACCCCCCACCCCCCACCAACCGTCAGGGAGAAAACGACGGGGAGGGAATCTATCGGGGGTTGATAGACCTCCTGCCCTGACACGTCGATTACGGAATTTGCTGTTTTCGGTTCGCGAGAGGGCGTCGCGGCCGTCATGTTTGCGGGTCCAGGTCCGTCGGTTTCGGTCCCAGGCCGTTTTCATTAAGGTGAGGTTTACTACAGGGAGGTTTGTCCACCGCCGAATATCTACTTAATTGCGACGGTTCTGTTCCTTGTTGTTCAATTGCTTTTTTCTGTGGTGCTGGCGGCGACGACTGCGACGACGACGACGAGGGCAAAGCCTCTCGCACACGCCGCAGAACCGGCGAATCCCCTGCATTTCCTATTTTGAGTTTGCTATGATAGCGCGACGATTGGAATCAAGTCAGTTTGGTATGATACCTCAGCGATCTCTGTGAACAAAGGGCAGTTTGGCGGGGCGCTGCCAGTTGCTTTTGTTCGTGGCGTCGCTGTTTCGGGAAATCCAGCTCCACTGGGCTCACAGAGGTACTGCAGACACACCAGCCGTCAATGTGTCGTCGCAATGCGATGGAATCTTCGTTGTTTCGTGCAGGATGTCTCCACGTTCACGGGCTTTGATTGCGTGTGGCGGGAGTCCCGGGTTCTGCGGTCCCTGGTTGGCGGTAAAGGTGATTGGGTTGTGGATGTGTTGGGTTCCGAGTTGAGTTGTTACGCTTACAATGTTCAGTATTACCGTACAGTGCTACAGCTACATGTTTGGCGCCTGTTTCAGCCATATGAGGGCCCACGTTGCCGAGTAGTGTTGCGGTAATGTTTTGTGTGTCTTCTCGTTGCTTGTGTGTTGCGGCTTGCCTTGAATCGACCTATGAGCTGACGGCCAGGGTTACGCACCACCAGATCAGTTCGATGAGTTATGCGTGCCATATGCACCCGAGGTCGTTTCCCTCATCCGATGATCAGGTTCGATCTGATCGCGCAAGCGGCCAAGCTCAGCATGTATGCCAGCCAGCCCTGACAGCCCAGCTAGCAAATTGGCCCAGTATGCCCAGCCAGCTCTTCTCAGCCTTAGCGGTTCCAGCCAGCCCTCCCTAGCCAGCCCGAAAGCCCAGCTAGCCAGACACCCCAGTCAGCAGTTCGGCAAGCTCAGCCTGCCAGCGGGCCAACCCACCCAGTCAGCCAAGCCATTCCAGCCAGCCCTGCCAACCCAGCCAGCCCAGTCAGCCTAACGGTTCAGCCAGCTTGCAAGCGCAGCCCAGGCAGCCCGGTCAGCGAAGCCAGCCGCCCCAGCTTGGCCCAGCAAGGCCAGCCAGTATATCTCAGCCAATTCAGCCCAGCCGTTCCCGCCCCGCAGTCAGCCAGCCAAGCCAGCCAACCATCCCTGCCAGCAGCCCAAGCCAGCAAACCCAGCGACGCGGTCGGTCAGCTCAGCCAGGCCGGCCCCTGTGCGTGGGATCATGCGGTAACATGTGTCGAGTGTTGTGCATGTGGAACGCTGTGTGTGGAGCAGGAACCAACAGGATTCCAAGCATCCGCGATGACTGACAAACGGCCCCGCCACAAGGGTACTGGCCTCACATAAACACATACACGTGTGTGCTTTGTGCAGCGGCAGCCAGCATGCACGCACTCGCTCGGGCTACGGCGGCACCCCCCGTGCACGTGGGACTTGATCTTGTGGGCGGGATGAGACAAGCGGCAGTTTGCGATTGTCGCACCCCGTTAATCAGGGGGTCCGATGAGCGGGACGTTGTGGGTAGCGGGCGGGCCCCCAAGGGCACTAGACCCAGTGTCGGAGGGGAAGAGAATGCTGATGACACGCTGCCGTGTGGAGCCCGTCAGCTTGTTATTCCATCGCTTTTGTCCGAAGGACAGCAGCGCGCTGATGGGTTCCCCACGTCGGCGCGTCGGCGATGCCGCATGTGCTCCCCCCCTCTCGTGGGCGAGACGGGTGGGACCTTGCAGGTGAAACTTGGTGGTTGACGGCCGAGCCCCCGTCGACAGAACCGATGCTGGTGGCTGCATGGGCAACGGCCGAGTCCCGCCGAGCAAGCACATGACCAAATCTTCTCAGGCGATCGCAAACATGAATTAAGGGGGCGTGGATTAGCGACGGGTCCCGTTTCCATAGGAAATCCCGGACTTCCGCCGCCGAACGAGGAGGCATTGGCCGCATTTTGGGGAGGACATTTCCCCCGATCCATGGATTTGGCGACCGCGCGCCAAATCCATGGATCGCTAATCCATGTTTGCGCGCCCCCGAAGCACATGACCATCTCTTCGGCAAGTCAGAACTCCCTCAGCGCAAGCATGGTAGATTAGGTTTCTCAGATGTCCTTCCTCGCTTCAGAATGCCCCCGACATGCTGGCACCGTTATGCTGACACGTCGAACCAAGCGGGTCGCCCATTTGTGTTCCCATCCCCCCCAAGCAAAGACGACCATTCAGTGTGCGATCCCCCAGGTACTTAAGACATCACCGAAATACCAACACCACCCAGTCAGGTTTGCAATCAAGCAACCAGCCAGTCAAGCAATCAGTCGATCATACCTTCACAACTTTCAGAAAATGCAGTATCTCAGCTCGCTAACGCGATTTCTATACATCTTATCGGGCATAACCTGTTTGCTAGCGTTCGAAACCGAAGAGGTTCAGGCTGACGACCCCGCAGTATGATGAACGCTCATTGCTGTTCGGTGAACCTACTTTGCCGCAGTAGCTCCTTGCAGCACTCCTGATTAGCATGCCCCTTCAGCCAAGAAGGGGTCGGGGAGGACTTGGAGTCGGAGTCGTCTGGTTCAGACGTGGATCTTCCCGCAGGAGCTGCCTTTGCAGATGCAAGCAAGTATTCGTGATGGGGTTGGATGGAGCGATGAAGTCCATGGGGCAAAGTGTTGACATCGGGCGGAGAAAGAAAAAGGTTGAGCTGTGGTCATTGGGCCTGCGTGATTGTACCAGTAATAGTAATTGTGGAGGACGTCTACGAAACAGCTAGGCCGCCTTTGTTCTGCGCAGCTTTGAACAGTGCCTACAACATACCGTGATATTCAATGAGTGCCGGCTCGTGTGGTGTTTTTTTTAGTTGCGTTTTCGCAGAGGTTTGCAATCTAGTTCGGAGCGCCCAGGTCATGCGCAGCCGGACTGCGACTGCGGGGAACACCGCGGTTGTATGATCTGACGATATTAGTGTTTGCTTTGGCCTGGCATTCCGTGCATCTTCTTTTTGGTTGTTCGGCCGTTATGCATGTGTGTGCATGTGTGCGATGGACAGCAGCAATACCAATTTCAGCATCGTCCCTGAGAAGCACCAGCTCGGCCGCCATGCCATTCTCGGTCGCCCTGAGCGGCTCTGGGGTATTGTGGGTGACGAGCTTGTCTCAGGGCCTCAGGGAGGCGCGAAACTATGCTCACGTTGTGCAGAGACGACGCTCTTTCACTCCCAGGGAGGGAGAGAAGCAGGATGGCGAGGAACTTTTTTGGTCGCAGCGATGACGATCGCGCACCGCGCCCGCAGCCTGAGCGGGGGCACTGGAAGAGGGCGAGGACAGAAGGGACGATGGCCCAGGTGGGTATAGCAGAGGTCGCGCTGCAAATTCTGGCCGCGCGGCGCCCCAGGATTCTGCGACGACCTGTTCTGACCGGCCCCGCAGCCAGAGCGGGGAGCAACCTCTCGCCATGGGGTAAAAAGAGTCCTGAGGAAAGCGGGTCCTGAGGTTTTTCCCCATTTGCTAACCCTTCTGGGCCCTCCACGGGCCCCGGGACTTTCAGAAAGCGATTCAGGATGAAGAATTGGTCCGGGATGAAGACTCTCAGGGTCCAGGGCACGTTTCTCTCAGGACCCGTTTCCCCCGTGCTGAGTCCCCATCCTTTCGGCGGCGCGACCAGGGGGTGGAAGGCAGACGGGGCCAGCCTTCTCAGACGGCGGCAGGGCTTCTTGGAAGCCCGCCCGCCTCCTATGAAGCCTTCTGGACCGCCTCCGACGCCACAGACGATTTCCCAGAAGGGGAAAGGGAGGAGGAGGAGGAGGAGGAGGAGGAGGACCAGGAGGGGGAGGACCAGAAGGAGGAGGAGGAGGAGGACGAAGAGGAGGAGGAGGAGGAAGAGGAAGAAGACAAGGAGGAGGAGGAGGAGGAGGAAGAGGGATTCTAGGGATTCTGCCAAGGCGTAGCCTAAATGATACACAAGCCGCCCCCTGAGCTCGAAATCGAAGTAGACGAACCAGAAGACGAAGGGCAGGAGCCAGCAGGGAGCTGATGAATATTGCCAGCCGCAGAAGCCGACCCGAAAACGACCTTAAGAGCAATACCACAGAAATTACGAAGCCTGCCTAATATGAACAAAAAAGGTTTGGAACCAATTTGCCGAAACGACTCCACAATGACATAGCCAGTGGCTAAGCAGAAGTGAGTTTGACTTTATGAGGCCCTAGCTGTGCCGACACGGCGACACTGTAAATCACTGGGCTAATTCAAACCGATCAATTAGCTCGCCTCGCCCACAACCCCCCTCGCCCCAGCCGACCAAAGGAAGTACCGCCGACAGCTGAAGTCCCATACCTGCATGCTCATCGAGACACTCTGCACGACGAGCGGGGAAAACTGACCATCTGCCATTTGACAAAAAAGAGCCGCAAGACCCTGTGGGAAACAACCCAGTGGGTATCCCATGGGCACGAACAAAAACTGGTACACCATAGGAATGTTTACAAGCACGACGAAAACTGCGGTATCAAATGAACTGAATTGAGAATCTGCCAGCAAGGCCATACATGAACATAATGACACCGATCGGTACGTGCCCAAGCCAGCACCAGCGAGGGCTGACCAGTAATACAGGAGCCACTTACCGTGTACCGCCACCGTAGCCATACTCACGGTTTGTCCAGTCTCGCCATCCGACGGTTGTTGCAAGACGAAGTCCGCGGCAGAAATCGGAGCCCCCCAAGCGCCACGAGAAGGCACTGGACGCGGCTGGGAGCCCATCACTAAGCCAAAAGCTACGGATGAACCTCGAGCCACATGTGCTTGAGAGGAGAAGGAGGAAGAGGAGGAGGAGTAGGAGGGAGGAGGAGGGGGAGGAAGAGGCGCGGTGGTGGTGGCGTGGGAAGGCGTCTGGTGGGGCCGCGGGCACAGCACCTTTAGCGGCGCCTCCCGTGCAGGAATGGCTGGGGGACAGCTCACCACCTGTCTCGGGGGTCCAGCGCCAGCAGCATTACGGCGCAACTCGGTCCAAGAGGCAACCAGAGGCGTTCCCCCTTGGGACGACCCAAACTCCTCCGCCTCGGCCACAGGAAGGACCGTCTGCGCCCCCCTCTACAGTCTGCGGAGCGGCCATCCGCAGAAAACGAAGAGGCTGCAGCTGGGTTTCCCTCCCGGGACAAGAGGGGAAGTGGGGTGCCCCCAGGGGGGACCCAACGGCCTCAAGTGCCGGGAGGTCACCGGCAACGCGGAGTGAGGATGGGCAGTGTGAGAGCCTGGGACCTCCCGGCTCACCTCCATTGGGGCCCCGGCCGTCCGAACCAACCTTGATGCCACCGCAGGGCGCAGCTGCAGGGCGTTGAGGGAAAGCCGGAGGAGACCCTTCCTGGGATGGGGCTCCCCCGTCCCCTACCCCAGCTCAGTTGGGGGGCGCGGCCCAGCCTGCGGGGAGAGGCGGGATGGGAGAGAAGTCATCGGCGCGATGGCTGCGGACTGCACTTGAAACTAAACCAGAGTAGTTAAGAGCAGAGGGACGCCCAGCCCGGAAGCACTACAGCTGCCTATCAACTGCCGCCGCCAGCGCCACCGCCTCGGCAAATCCAGGGGCCCCTGGCCTGGCACCCAGCAGCGCCCGCGTGCTGCCCTCCAGGGATTCCGGCTGCGCTTGCGCCCGCACCGCCCAGAAGGCCACCCGGCCCGCCTCTGTCCACGGGCAGCCGGTGCACGCGTGGAATGAGAGGCTGCGCCGCCGCCGCGCCGCACCGGCGCCCGTCGACAGCATGCCCCAGGACGAGCAAGCCCGCCCGCCAACGGTTGATGGACCGCATCCCTTGCGGAACATCCCAGCTGAACTCGCCCCAGAGGGCGGCTCTTGGCCTCATCCACAACCTGCTCCAGCTCCTCCATGGCTGCCCGCTTCAGTCTCATACTTTCCTGGTGGCCCGGGGAGGCGTCTGCAGGAACAGCGCTGAACGAGTCTAGATGTCCTTCAGAGAGCAGTAGCAGTAGGGGGAGGGGGGAGGGGGGCGGCTCCGAGGACGGGTCCGGAGAAGGAGCAGGAGAGGGCGTCTCCATCCAACACCGCATCACTCCGAGCACACCCTGAGAGAAGATCCACCGCCACTGGCTCAACAGACCGCCTCCGCGACGCCACAGACGATTTCTCAGAAGGGAAAAGGGAGGAGCACGAGGAGGAGGAGGAGGAGGAGGAGGAGGAGGACCAGGAGGACCAGGGGGACCAGGAGGAGGAGGAAGAGGAGGAGGAGGAGGAGGAGGGAGGAGGGAGGAGGAGGGGGAGGGAGAGGGGAGCGGAGGAGAGGAGGAGGAGGAGGGGGAGGAGGAGGAGGAGGAGGAGGAGGAGGAGGAGGAGGAGGAGGAGGGCCGGCCCCCTCTGCCTGACCGCCTTCTGGGAAGGCCGGTCCCTCTGCCTCCCACCCCGGGCGTTCCGCCGACGTCTTCCTCATCGAATTTCGTCAACGTTTTCTTATTCGGCGTTTCGACATTGGGCGGAATGGGGGGAAGGGGGGGGGGGGGTCTGGCTCCGGACCTCTGCTTAACGCGACTGTTTGCAACAGTGCCTCCCATGGGGGAGGCTCCACCCTGCCTGAGACAGGCGCCAAAAACAGCCAAGATCTACTCCTCTGGGGGGGAGGAGGGGTTCGCGAGGGCTCGCGCCGATCGGCAAAACAATGAATGAGAAAACGATCACGTTCGAGGTTGGAGGTTGTTGGAAGTTTCAGGCTTTCAGCGAGCCTCCGGGAAGCTCCGGCCAACTTCTATGTTTGGGCGGCCGCGCGTCAAATATTCCCACTTCTCTCTCTCTCTCTTTCTCGTTCTCTCTTACCTCTCTCTTCCTCCTCCTTCTCTCCCGACACTGTTGTGCGTACATGTGGACCTGGTCGTTGTAGCAACCACCGTGCAGGATTGGTCATTATACTGCGCTCGTTTGTAAGTGGGTCCAGCAGGTTGCAAGTAGCACGCATAAGCATATGGAAATCTAAAAAATGTGTTAATGTGTGCATGCGAAGTCCATATAGTGTATATGTGTATGTATAGAGAGATATGTGATAGGCTTATGAATGTGTGTATGTATGTATGTATGTATGTATGTACGTACGTACGTATGTATGTATGTATGTATGTATGTATGTATGTATGTATGTATGTATGCATGCATGCATGTATGTATGTATGTATGTATGTATGTATATATGTGTATGTATGTATGTATGTATGTATGTATGTATGTATGTATGTATGTATGTATGTATGTGTGTGTAGGCAGGTAGGTAGGTAGGTAGGTAGGTAGGTAGGTAGGTAGGTATGTGTGCATGTATGCATGTGTGTATCCCTGTGTTTGGCCAGCGACATAATAATAATACTATTAAGAAGAACGAACCAACAGCGCAAGCAGGAAGGGGAAGGGTGACCAGGAGGGGAAGGGCTGAGGACAAGGAGAAGGGAGAGGAAAACTACGGCGAGCAGTACGATAAGGAAAACAACAACTACACCGTGCGAGAGACCCCCAAAACAGCAACGCTCACGCGAGGACACGCATGGGGAGTAAGCATGACATGGGGCGTGCTTGCTTGGTGTTGGTGGCCACTGCCGCAAGAAGCCGGGCATTGCACGGTGCGCGGAGACGGCACGGCACGGCACGCGCGCTCTGCATGGCACGTCACGCTTTTCGCACACCTAAAGCTTAAGCGCGGCACGGCGCAGTCTCCATACTAGAACCGATCGGAGGTTGATAGAGCTCCTACCTTGACACGTCGATTAGCGGATTGGCCGTTTTCGGTTCGCGAGAGGGCGTCGCGGCTGTCATTTTTTGCGGGTCCAGGTCCGTCGGTTTCTTAAAGGGAGGCTTGTCCACCGCCGTACCTAGGCACGGCACGGCACGCGGGCCTTCTGCGGCACGGCAAGTTTTGTCGCGTTGTAGTTGTTAGGCACGCGTCGTGCGGGCACGGCACGGCGCGGCGCATGTTCCGAATTCTAGCCATGGGCACGGCACGTACGGCACGCGGGCATGGGACGGCATTTTCTTTTGCAGTCTAGGACTTATGCACTGCACGGCACGCGGGCACGGTACCGCTCAGCAGAGTTATTGCATTCTAGAAGCTAGGCAGGGCACGGCAAAACATCTTCATTTTGGAACGTAGGCATGGCACGGGCCGCCCGGTGCAATTGCGAAACAGTGCCCTGGCCTCGGGGCTTGGGCCGCGAGGCAGTTGAGACGGAAAGGTCTTGTACGTTGCCCCGCCGGGCCTCCCGTCCCCTTCGCCCCTCTCCACCCTCTTCTCTTCCGCCGCGTTCCCTCCGCTCTGGCGGCCTGTTCCGCGTGCTGTCGTGCGTTCGCTCGGCGCCCTTCGCGGGCTGATTTCCTCAGTTGCTGCGGTGCGTCCTTCGGCCTGGTCGTGCACATGGTGGGCGTCGTGGCAAGC